GCAGTAAGTTTGTTTCTCTGCTAGTTACTGACCCCAAAGTCATGAGTAAGGGATCGTGAATAATGTGTAAAGGCTGTAACTGGTTCAGAAAACCTTTAATTGGCTAATTAAAAAAAGCCCTATAAGAGGCTGCAGAGAATCACCCAAAATGTTCCTAATGCAGACTGACATTTTGATTTTCCCCAAAGTTTGAAGCAAGACTTTTGGTATGATCACAGTTTGAGTTAGAGAGGGTAGAATTACTTTCTTCCAACAACTCATTCATTCCTCCAAAGAGTGCTGACACAATCAGATCTCTCATCAGAGTTTAATGCTAAGTCTCATAGCCCTGAAGCAGCACAAAAATCTCTATTTCCTGAACATTTCACTGACCTGTGGTGTTAAAGACTTGCCAACTAAGACAAACCATTAAATGAGCAGGGAACCACAACAGTAAAAATACTGCATGAGGCAGCCATGGCTGGTAAGACCTCAGGGTCTAAATCCAAAAATTTTTTATCATCTTTAGTGGAACTACTGCTCTTTTCAGAGGCGCGGATTGAATTCTTCATGGTGGAGGTAGAATTAAAGACACACCACACACATGGATCTGGCACCAAATTCCCATGTGATCCACACATGTACTGGGACATCCCTGCAGGGCTCTGCCTGGCATGTATCACTGTCAGGACAGCCCAGCGCGATTTGCAGAACACACCTTCTCTGCATCTGTGTGCTCACGCTCTTATAGTGCCTCAGCAAAAATGATGCTGTTGCTCTTTTGCTGTTTTCTTACCTCTCTACTGTTGATGCAGGTTTAATTACAGCTATCTGTACCTGTAGTCTTTAGATTATTCGTCTAGCTGGGGCTTAATCTTCTCGGTTTGCAAGCAGGGAGGGGATCAGTCATTTTTTCCCATTTAAGGCATGACAGAATTACAGGGTAATTAAAGGCCAGAAGGGACCTCGGGAGGTCTCTGAGCACAACTTCCTGCTGAAAGCAAAATGCATCTGTAGTGTTTAGGTACCACCTGGGCTGCAGCACTGGCACTGGAGAGAAGGGCCTACTTCAGCATACCCAGGTCGTGATGCATGTTTTGTACTGGGTGCTGTGCTCTGCCATCATATCAGCACTGTGGGGTTTTGTACATCTTTACAGTAAAAATGCCATTTTTGCTGATGACTTTCTTCAAACATCCACTTTAATTTCCTCCTAAAAAAATTCTCATTTATGCACATTCTAAAGACGATAAATGTGTTGACAGTTTGGTGCAAGTATTCCCTGTTCGAAATTTCCCTCAATTGTCCTACAGATGGGCCTTAGACTTCTCAGTTTATTCCTCCTGCTGTCCATTAACTCTCTGAGTGTGCATAATCAAAGGACTGCTTTTCATTATCAGCAAAAAGGATAAGTTAAAGTAGAGAGAGACTTCTGAATGCAGTTGCATTTTTCATTTTATTCACAGCTTCCCTCATCCTTCTGCCAACAGCTCACCGTAATGTGCATATCCAGGGGGGTTAAAGGAAAAGCAAATATTGTCTCGAGCTAAAGTTGTACATTCACAACTATAAAAGTGAAGCAGTGAGACAGATGGAGCCACATCATGATATTTAAGCATAAAGGTCAGGGAGTGAGCTGCAGAGTAGTTATATTCAACAGGGCTTCAGTGCTTAAAGAAGAGGGATTGCTGCCGCTGACAGATTTGTTAGAAACCTGTTTAGCTGCCACAAGCATGAATATATCCAAACAGAAGCATTTATCATCATTAGAATGATAACCCCAAATACATTTATTTCTTATTTGGTTGGGTTTATTCTCATTCTTACTCTTAACCCCACAGACTTTGGACTCAGCCTAAACATAATTTGATTTTTATGGTTGGCTTCATTAGCTTTTAGTGCAATTTCAGTGGCTTGGTTACTAAATCAAATCCACTGTGATTGTGGTTGCATATGCTTCACAGGCCTCTTGAATACAGCAGATTACTTGGAGGCCCGTTTCTCCTTTATTTTATGCATTTTGGACCAACAAATCCTTTTGATTTCCACCTTCTTTGTGAAGTTAGTGCTGTTGTATCTGCACAGACTGTTTGAATTTAGCAATACAGAAACAAAGATGAAAACATTCTGCCTGGAGGAAAACCAGTGTCAAATATTCCCACTTGGCTGTCCTTGTTGTCAGGACATCTTCATATTGCATTGCTTAGACAGTTCCTGATGTATGTGTCTATCAGAGCTCTTATTTTATGCTGTATTTTGATGTTTCCTTTTCCTTCTTCTTTTCCTCAGAGGACTATAATTTTTTTTTCTTTTGGGATTTTTGGGGGCATGGGGAAGTTCCTTAACACCTACTATGATGGCTTCTTTTCACAAAGATCACCTAGAAGAGGACTCCCCTCATTATTTACTGCCTTGTCATCAGACAATGCATTTAGTATTTGCTGTATTAAACCCCCAATATTTGCCAGCTTCTCCCTTTCCCGGCATGTTTACCATTTCAACGATGGGGAAGAGTTAGCTGCGTTCATAGCGGTATAGATTTAACCTGCAACTGTCTAGAGCAGTGGCCAAAGTGAATGCTTATTGTTAAATAATGAAGTATTTTCCCTTCCTTTGCAGAGCGGTCCTTTGGGATGTGAGGGCTAATCAGCAAATTGGGCGAGAGCCTTGCCAGCTCTAATTACAAAGCCCGCTTAGGCTGTCTCCGCTCCGGCAGTCCGTCACTAATCCACGTGTTAGTGTAGAAAAGACAACTGACTCACTGTGGGGGAACTTGCAACACTTCAAAAAAAAAAAAAGAAAGAAAAAAAAGTCAGAATTTTTTAGCGTTTTCTCCTTGTGCCAGAATGCTGTGGCAGTAGTGGTGAGAGGAGGTGGAGGCCCGGGCCCTCTCTCCCGCTGTGAGGCTCTTCCTCGCAGGTAATTGAGGGACAAAGCCAAACTTCCAGGTATTCCTCAGTTGTCTTCACTTTCCCAGCGGGAAGGACCGGGGGTGAGAGGCCCTGCCAGCCCCGCCACAGCCCAGGCACCCTGCCCGAGCGCCCGGGAGCCGGCCCACCCTGAGGGGGACGTGGCACACTGGTGGTGATGGCCTCAGGGAAAACACTTCTCTTCCTCGTGCGTGTTCAAGGCCCAAAAGGGCGTCTCAGGTGTAAGGTGCCGGCGGAGGCGAGGGCTCGTCTGCTGCGGGGGGCACGCTGGGAGGGACCCCGGGCTGGAGGGACACGGAGCTGGGGCAGGCAGGGCCCTCCGGGGGGCTGCGGCCCGGCCATGGAGCCCCAGCTCCAGGCCCTCTCCGGGAGAGGCTGCCCGGAGAGCTGAGCACATCTGTCAGCTCATTGTCTGCGCGGAGCGGAGAACAAAGAGGAAAACAACAGAAAAAATGCAAAATGCATTTAAAAATACTCTTTCATTTCCCTTTTCGCCAGAAGCAGAAGTACTTAAATAACAGAGGACAAAAGCAGCTCTTGCAGATTTTCCAAGAATTGGGAAAAATAAAAAGTCCTGTGAGAAGGACTGGTTTTAGGAGACTTCCACCCCTGTCCCGCCAGACCTGGGTGTGCAGTCTGGGCAACCCCTGCAGAAATGCGCCCGGGAGCTGCCTCCCCCCCTCTAAAGCAAACACCAGCCTTGCGGTTGCAGTATTTCAAGTCATGTCCATTCATCTGGTTACGTGTCCCCTATTTATTTTAAAAATCAAACTTTCAGAAAGGTATGAAGCAATTTTTTTTTCCCATCAGTATTTTTCTTCTGCAAATTGCTTGCCCAAAAGGCTCAATGGAATATAAAAATCAAAGGGGTAGAGATTAAAATCTTTAAAAAAAAAAAAAAAAAAGTAATAAGGAAGGCATTGCTAAAAGATGTTTCTGGGAAGTGTGGGCGACAGTAAATTTAAGAAATATTTGTAGCCAGATGAAGCACTCAGTCTGTGTACAAATGTCCTGTCACTACTGATGTACTCTTATAGCACGGGGCTTACTTTGATGGTATTCCATACAAGGGGATCAAATTTTATTTTCCTCTATAAATACAGTTTTGTGTAACTCAGAATGGAGACAAGCTGCATGGACATAATTAAGAGCAGAAAAACTTCTAGTGGTTCAGAAGTAGAGGCTGTCGCACATGCAGTGAGGTGCTTTTACATGGAGTACAATAAATATTTGGTGCTTTATAGTGAGTTTAGGGCTGTCAGTGGCACTCTGTCACAGCCTGCAGTGGTGGCAGTGCTCAGGAATGGGTCCACTGTCAAGAGATGTTGGGCTTGTTCCTGAATCAGAGGACATGTATGCTGTATATCATGGCTGAGGTTTCATATTGCATGTATAAGAAATGAGTATAAATAGTAAGAGGGCATGAATAACAGAAATCAAACACCCTATATAGTGTTTTCCCAGTTACAGTAAGAATCTGTCCTTGTTGAACTACTTCTAGAAAAACCTGGGCTCCTGTGAGAATGCAGAGCATCTGCCAGTTTCACAGTTCAGCACCTCTAAAAATCGCCCTTAAGTGGCTGAGTTTGCTTGCTAGTGCACCCCCTATGAGACCTGGATTGTTAGCTAGTCCTTCCTCCACCTCCTTGTTCATTCCACCACAAACCACACTGGTGGGGAGCCATGTGGTCTTAGCTTAAAGTAGTGGAAAGTCTGCTGAGCTGGTGACCAAATGTGACCATTAAGTTATCCGACCTTCTGATGCCCTCCATCAGTCAAGCTGGCTGAAATCAAGATGTTGCACCTGTGTTAAATATTTCATTCCTCAATTCAGCTAATTTCTACATAAACATTTAATTTTAATATGTATGTAAGCTTTTTCCTGGTGGGAGGTGTTCAATGATGTGTTTAAATTAAATGCTGTTGCTTTTGGTTAGAACTGGGAAAGTGCTTGAAACTAAGTCCAATTTGAGAGTTTTGCTAACTTGATGCCCTTAATTTGCCTCTTTTTTTAAGTCAAGCTTTATGATTTAAAAAAAAAAAACAAAACCAACAAACCACAGTGAGGTTAATACTGTGATATTCTTCTAGATGGACAGCAGATCTGGGAAATGGAGGCAACAGTGGACAAAGATAAGAGCCAACCTGTAAGTATGCAAAACATGGATGTCCTCTCCTTGGGCATCTCCGACAGCAAGTTGTATTCAAGGGTTAGTTTTCAAAGAGCATCTCAAAAGCAGAAAGAGCAGCTATCTCACTGCTGTGATGAACAAATGTCAAATGCTTCAGTAGTAAATGTGTTGCAAAAAGAAACTATTCATTTAGCAGTAACCCACAGCAAACTGAACAACCGCTAGATTTTGTGTTCTTGCAGAAGACTCTATTGTATCAGCCCAGTCCTCTGCAGGATGCTGGCTGTCCTGACTTCCTTTCGCCTGTATGGAAGTCTTGGGTGCTCTGTACTTTGTAGGACAGGATTTGTACTATAGTATTTAAAATGAATATTGATCTTTCAAGGGAATGAGCCTCTTTGTTCATTTTGCTTAATGGGACCTTACTGTAGTTGTTTAGTGCATTTAGGAGCTAGCACTTACATTGCCATGGGCCATCTCTCTTGCAGAAGAGAACAGGAGACTCGCTGTTGACTTCCATGGAAGAGAGATCCGGCTCTGTATAAGTAAAAAGCCTATAGAATAATCAAGTTTATTCTAACAAAAAGGGAATTCTGCAATACATACTTGTTTATCAAGCACAGTGTGATTAACAGTGCTGCTGCATTTATCATCATTCTGTGTATTTAATTTGTAGCTGCGACTTCTCTTCCCAAGTTCAGGACAACATCAAGTATAAGAGAGGATACAGTACATAGAAACCCACTTCATAGTACCAAAAATCTTCTAGTTTTTCACCATCTGCCCTTTTCTTCCTTTCTTCTTCTCATACCCTTCCTTATAGGCATGAAGATTTCTCTTCCTTTATACCTAGATGCATAACAGGAGATGTACACAAAAATCTCTGGTCAGCCTCAGTTACTAATTCTGTATTGTCATGTTTTGTTGTTTCAGAGCATGCTTTTTGTAGAAATACCAGAGTACCGTAACAAGCACATTCGCACAGCTGTGAAGGTGAATTTCTACGTCATCAATGGGAAAAGAAAAAGAAGCCAACCCCAGCATTTTACCTATCACCCAGGTAATTCTCAAGGACAGAGCAAGTTGTTGCTTAGTTCTCGTGAGCAAGATTTTATTTTCTGTGATGTTGTTTTCTTGCCATTATTTGAGGATCTAATTTTACTAATTTAATTCATCTCAGTACAGCTAAGCACTCAACAACTGTTTGGTTTAAAGGATGCATATGATTTATGATCAAGAATTTCTGTAACTTTAAGAGGACAGTTATCTTGGCAATGTGCTGATGCTGCCCCATTCACTTGATGGAGGTCTTCCAACAGCCTCAGTGGGAGCAGATTCAGTCTGTGACATGATGTGACCCTCTAAAAACCATGAGCGTTGCCTTCCCCAGCTGACATGTATGACACTAAGATAACATCAAATCTGGGAAAGTAACAAGGTTTTGGTATGGAGAAAGATGAGAAGTATATATTCTTCACAATGAGGCTGGTTAAGAAAAATATGTATGCTTTTCTGATGTTCTTCCTCTTGGGAATTGGTGAGCCATGTCATAATAAATGCAGTAGGATTACTGATGAGATTCCCAGAATTTCTCAGCTTTGGCTGGGAGAAGAATATTGTGAGAAAATCAGAGTATTGTGTTTGTGGAAAATGGAAAGCATAAAATAATAGTACCAGATTTTATGTAAGCTTCATATGATGTCTTAATTTGACTAGTTTCTAAGGAAAGGCAAACATTCATTCTGATTCTTATTTTGGTATCCTCCAGCCTGAAAATTTCTGGTTCTTTCCCTGAATTTATGAACTGTATAGGGGTATCAGGAATGTGAAGGTTTTGTATAGTTGTTAAATTTTTCTGCTATGGAATAGTATTGAGGAGTACAGTAGTGTCTCAATACGATCCCTAAAATAGACCACTTCAGAGAAGGAATCCTCACACTTCCAAAAAATAACCCTGTTGCATGACCATTATATGGTTTCCATTGTATGGTATTTCTGTACTGAGTTTTGGTGAAGATTTAACAAAAAAATCATTAGAGATGTGAGAATTTGTCTGTAGCAGGCCATTGCTTATCCACACCAAGATTCACACAACTCTTACTAAGTCATGGTCTTTTAAATGATGGTGTCAGAAAGGTCTTCAGCTCCCAGTACTGAGGAAGTTAAATGCAGCAAAGGAACTAAAAGGAAAGCTATAAAATAGTTCACCTGTGCTTTTAGTTACTAGTTAAATGTTTGACAGAAAAATGAGGAGTTGTGTATATTATAGAATTTCTATTTATTCAGTCTTCAAGGTACTACACAAAACACCTATTTATGGCTTCTTACTTTGCTTATGTCCCAGAATGGCCCTTAAATGAATTGAAATATGAGTTAAAGTATCGAATTTTTCAATTTTTTGAAATTTATGGTTAAATAGTTCATTAAAGATTTTCAAGAGCCTCTTAGTACAGAGTGTTTTCAAGAGAGACTCTTCCACGATTGCATATATATGACTTAATAAACTCAGTGCCTGCGAGATACGAGCTCACACATGCAAATCTTGTAAACAGCTTTAATCTCTTATTACTTCAAGGAAGACCTCTCTGTTTCTCATCAGCTCGTTACGAATAATGTCCTTTGCATGCTTTATTCTAGTACCATCAATCAAAACAGAGCCCATTGATGACTATGATCCAGCCTTAATCTGCAATACAGTACACAGTGGTCTGGGAACAGTAACACAGCCTTACTATTCACAGCACACAATGGTCACCGAATCCCCTTCCTGTCTTGTGGCCACTATGGCTCCTTGCCAGCAGTTGCGCTCAGGCCTTTCTTCTCCTGATTCTCGATACCATCAGCAGAATCCAGCCGCTGTAATATACCAAAGAAGCAAGAGCCTTAGCCCAAGCCAACTTGGCTACCAGCAATCCAATTTGATGGCTACACCAGTTGCTATTTCAGATGCCCATAGGTCAGTGCTGGTGCACGCTGGTTCTCCAGGCCAAACTTCAGCAGTGCTCCACCACTCTCCAGGCAATCAGCAGTCTTCTCCAGTGATTCACTATTCACCAACCAACCAGCAGCTGCGGTGTGGAAGTCATCAAGAATTTCAGCACATCATGTGCTGTGAAAATTTTACGTCTAATGTTGCAAGATCCAGCCAGCCCCAGGTCAGTCAAGCACAAAGGTTAAGTCCAAGTTCATATCCTACCGTGATTCAGCAGCAGACAGCCTCAGGTCAGCGAGCAGCAAAAAATGGACCACCGGTTAGTGACCAGAAAGAAGTGTTACCAGCTGGAGTCACTATTAAACAGGAACAGAATCTGGACCAAGCGTATCTGGATGACGGTAAGCACCTCTCTTCTCTTGTATGGGTCAGTTTGTTGGAGGGAGGGGGGAGGTTTAGGACTTTTAAATCCCACTTGTTCCTCGGCACAAAACCAACGTGGCCTCCTTTTGATGGGTGTGGATATTTGCTGTTTGCTCATGCTGCATTTTGGTCTTTAATCAACTGCATTTTTGGTAGATGGCAATGCACTTTGGCAATTGAGCAAAAAACTGTTCTGCAGAAACCCTTTGTCTTGCTTCATGCCATAGAGTGAGCTGTCAGGTTTCAAGCTGTTGCCATTTTGTTTCCATTTGCCAAAGGTTAGTTTGGAAAATGGAGAATCTGAAACAAAATGCACTTTTAAATTATTTTTTTATTATTCATATCAGGGCAAAGTCCACTTTGTAAAATGCTTTTGTACATTTTGTACCACAAAAAAAGCCCATTGAACAGTCTATCAAGGCCTGTAATGAATGGGGTACTGCTGCAGGCAAAACTATTGCAGATGTTCTAGATGAACAGTAGGACATTGATAAGTAAAACAATGCTGTTTCTTTGTTGTGAGCCAGCAGATTTAGCCTTTAGGAATGAATATAAGTTAGAGTAAAGCTTTCTTTGAACATACCCTGCTTATTCTTAGGTAGGCAGCTATTGGCAATCTGGTTGATTTGTTCTTTTGAAGTATGTTCCTTGCAAGAGGAAATCAATGCAAAGTTAGTAGTGCAGCTGGATGCTGCAATCATAAAGGCCAGTAGCAAACCTGACATTGATTTTAGTGGGAGCAGAGTGAGGTTGCTGGTTATGTTGCTGCAAATATAGAGCATTCTTATGCATGAAGTACAGACCTGATTTTCACATATATTCACTGCTGCTGTCCTCTCAGTCTAGGCAATTGCATGCATGGTTTGATTGTGTGAATGTGCACCATTATGCACTGTTTGAGATTTTTATTGCAGTTACTCACCTAGAGTTGTGAAATTGTGCCCATGAAAGTTTTTCTTTCTTCAACTTAGGTACTGAGTGCTCTGTGGCTGTATCATGTAGTCTTCATTGCTGCTTTTGTGGGCAGAGTAGTTTGGATCAGTCTGTGCCTATTAGTCTGTGTTTGAAATGTGGTTGATAGAGGTTTGGTGTCATCATGGTAAAATCTGGAGAGTTTTTACTGGTCCCCTTGTCTGAAGAGGAGTGTTGAATTAGGGTTTAACAGTGAATTTGATTTAGGAGATTTGCTATATCTGCAAGAGTATAGCTGAGTAAAATCCACTTCACATTCAGGGAATGGGGCATGATAACAAAGCAAGATAATCGTTCTCATAGTAAAACTGATCACTGTTTTAAGGTACTTTTAGTATGAGAACCTGAGATATTCTTCCATGTTTCTAAAAATACTTGGTACAAACCTTGTAAAAGAAATTTAAAAAGAATCTTGAAGTTAAAGCTAACAAACTTCAGAGTCAAGTCAAATTCCACTTCAATAAAATCCCAAAATGGACTAGAAAATTAATTTTACTGGGTTTTAAATCAAGCCAGTAACATATAACTATAGCATAGTTCACAAGGGATGCACGCTCAACCTCCATGCTAAGAGGAGCAATTAGGCAGAATAGCAAGTTAATAATGAAATTCCAGAGTTCTGCTTGGCTGACTGGATCATCCTCAGTTGATCTCAACTAAAGATTAATTTATCAGTTATGCCACCCAAGTCAGGACAGGTGAGATTGGTCACATTCAGTCTCTGCTGACCTCAGTGAGTATACATTAGTTAGAAGTGTGACTTGGAGAACTGTGATTTACTTTAGGACTTTGCAAAATATTTCATTCTGAAATGTTCAGGACTTGAATTGAAAAGCCACTTTGTTTGCTGCTGGGGAAAAGTGACTCAGAACATAACAAAAGCCATATTTTTCCTGACTAGAAAGTTTATTTTTGTTCTTTATAGTATTAAAAGAAAGCAAACCCAAAGGATTATGGAGGCTTTACCCTCAAATCCCTTTCATCCAGAAAGCTCTTCTGAGATAAAGTGAGCTGTTAGGTCTTGCTGTGATTTTTCATGGATAGATACTGAGATGGTGGTTCCCCAGCCATGCTTGACATGAGTGCGTCGCACTGCCACTGAGGCGTAGGCTCTTAGGCAATCACTTTTTTGGTGTCTCTCGCTTCCCTTCGCTCTTCTTCCCTTTCCCCATCTTCCTCCTCTGTCTTCTTTGTTCTTCTTTCTCTGTATTTCTGCTGACAGTCCAGCTTTCATCTCTCTCTGCAGTTGTGACCTCCTCTTGTCAACTCTTGTCCTCTGCCTTTGTGGTTAACGTGCAGCCTTGGTGTTCTGGACTTTGCTTCTATTCTGAGCTTGGCCACAAACTTCTTGAATGACCTGGGACAAGCCCCACTCTGTCAGTTCCTCATTCCTGAAGCTATTGTTTCTCAGAGTGGGTATGCTGTCCCAGTCTTTGAGCTCTTCTGGAAGTGACCAGAGAAAACCATCTCATAGCTAACACAATTAAAATTTCTCTTTACCTCTTCCAGCTTCCTGCTGCCACTGCTAGCAGGATCCTTTGTTATCTTCTTATCTTCCCTGCTGTAAAAATAAAAGTATTTGTCTTCCCTGAAACCATGATTTGTTATTTGCTCAGAGCCTTCATGGCTCCACAGGGCACATAATACTGAGGACTTAGCACACTTAACCTGTCTTTACCTCCTGCCCACAGGAGGATTACAGTCAAATATGTGACCATAGCTCACAAAGCTGTAAGCTCTTGAGGCTGAATAGCACCAGCACTGCAGCCAAAACAGCATAGACCTTAAGGCAGGTGTTGGCAAGTATTTACCTATCTTCTCAGTTGGGTTTTGCTATGTGCGAGGACCAGTTTGTGCACTAGCTGCACAACTGATACCATCCATACTGGCTACCTTAATGGTAACTTTAGCATATCTGTAGCTTATTGATGACCATACTGCAGACATAGAGAACTGCCACGTGCTTTCTTGGAAGGAGACATTTGCCCCTATTCTCCTCTTGCTGGTGCTACCTCAGAGCAAGAGGTGCCTAGCCCAGCCTATGCAGCACCCCATTGCAACTTCTAACTTTTCCCTTCCCGACAGAATTACAAAACACCTGGTTATTGGAAGGAAGGCTCTAGCGCTCAAGCCGTAGAGGTTGGATTTGGAAATGCAGCCATTAGGGAGACTGATGCAGGTTAGACATTGCCACACATATGTATACCTTCATAAACATATTCTTCCATATGACTCCACATTTCTCTGTCAAAAAAACCAAACAACCCAACATAATTTTTTAATATCAAATAATGAAAGATGAATCCCCAGAAAAAGAGACTATTCATGAAAAATTGTTAGAGAAGCCTCTGTTACACACTTCAGAGATTCATTACTGTTGGAAATACTTCGGGAGTGGAGATAAGTCATGGCCAGGAAATCTTTCAGAATGCATCAGGTGTCCAGGCTAATGCTGACAAGCAAGTGATTAGCTTCAAAAGCAAGTAAAAACCCTAGTCTGAGAGTGCTCAGCATGTTTCAGCCTCATCTGAATATTCATAACCAAACCCACCCACAATGGTAAAAGTTACACAAACAACCACAGAAATATGTTGAGAAATAGAACATAGTCCTTCCAGGACCTTCAAAGCAATCAGATTAGCTCTTTAAAGCACAAACCCAATTAAAAAATTAGTTACTTACAGCACCATCCAAAATCCATTGGTGGGCCAGGATCGAGAAGGAGGGGGACCCAGGGCCAGGGGTACTGGTCATGCCCTGGACTGCCCATGCTCATGCTGCAGAGCCAGAGGTTTCCTGCATAGCCCTGGGGAAGCCACTCAGCTGCCATGTGCCACAGTTCCCATCTGCGACACAGAGATACGAGGATTGTGTGACAAAAGCAATAAGAGGATAAATGCATTGCAGACTCTAAAGCACTTGGATGAGACACGATCTAGAAGTGCCTTGTGGAGATTGAGTGTCAAGTATAGTTTTAGGCTCTTTCCTTATACAAATAATGGACATATAGTTGCTCTCTTGAATGTTATCAACTTGCCTGCCTTAGATTTAGTTCTTTTCGGTTCAGCTGTCATGTTGTATGCTTTTTACATTACAAAGAAAAAATTATTGTTATTATTCAAACAGTGACCATCTAACCACAGCTGACACTCAGAACTGTCTGCTTGATACAGCAGCTCTGAATTACTTTTGGTGCATCAGTAATCTTTAATGGGGAGGAGAAAAGCAAGGCAGATACTTGTGTAGTGGTTTATAAGAGTGCTGATCAGCAGAGATATTTTATAGTGAACTCATGTATTTCTCAGAAAATTTCAGACATGGCAGATATTTCTTTAGAAAATGGATCTGCAGGGTATGCAATGTGATGCTTGTAAATCCACCAGAACTTTCGATCACCTTCACTACGAGCAATACGTTAATTTGTGCAGTTTTGAACCCTACCACAGTAACCATTGCCCTAACCATGGGTCTCATCCAAGGCCATTTGGGGTGTGTTAGGTCCTTACATTTTCTTTTTGAGTTCTTTACTTTAGTAAGAAGAAAATGCACAGTCTGTCCCCACGCTGTCATGAAATTAAATTCCAATCTCTTCTTTCCTCCACGTTCAGGAATAATCTTTCTTTTTCTGACCAGCTTTTTCTCCTTAGGACGGTAGCTGTTAGGCACAAGCCTGAGCAGGGTGTACCTCCAGGAAACCCCGGGTCTCCTGGGGACCCGAGAAGCAAAGCTACTGTGTCAGCCCTGAGTAAGCGGCAGCTGGGGGCTGAGCTCTTCCTGCCAGCTTTGGTCTCGTGTCGTCCTTCCTGCAGTGCACAGCTTGCTCTGCATCCATGCTGGTTCCCTGTGCTCCTCGGGGAGACCATCATGCATGTGTGGGTGAAAGGAGAGGGTCAGTACAACCACGAGGGGAGGCAGGACACAGGGCTCCCCCTCGCAGCCAGTGCGGTCCATAGGGCTTTGGCTCGGGTGCTGGCACATTGTGAGCATCCTGCTCACCCTTCCCAGG